CGGGCGGGCAGGCGACGGGGCGGGCGGCTGTCCAGCCACTCCCAAAGTCACACCACCGCACCACCACTACCTACCACCGCGCGCGCGGGAAGCCAGCGCTATTTGCACGACATGTCACTAATTGCACGCACACACACACATACGCGCGGGGTCGCCCTCGCCCGGCATGCAAGCTCTGTGCGTCCACTGACTATGCGCCCGAGGACTGCAAGGAGGACCGCCGGAGGGGAGCAGAGCCGCACAGGGCACTCGGGTCACTGCGGGTTTGGGTATGTATGAGTGTTGCCTGTCGGCGGCGCGCGCCTGGACTGCGGCGGGCGGGCGAGCGAGCATCACACTGCTCCGCCCGCCGCCTCCTCGAGCCGCGCGCCACGCCACGCCCCGCCACCCCGCCCCACCGTCCTGCGCCTCACCCCGCTTCGCCCTGTCTGCCCCGCGATGATCACACGTACTACGGCGCAGCGTTTGAGAATGCCACCGTCACAACGAGAGAGAGAGAGAGAGAGAGAGAGAGAGAGAGAGAGAGAGAGAGGGGGGGGGGGCGCAATGCTCCGTCCTTACAAAGCTCGCGCAGGGGGCGGCTTCGAAGACTGCAAAGCATTTAATTTGCAATCGTGTATAGCATTCTTTGGAGCATGCGCAGCATTATTTCTTTTGCAGTTTCTTTTGCAAAAATAACAAGAACCAAAAAAGAGAGAGAGAGAGAGAGAGAGAGAGAGAGAGAGAGAGAGAGAGAGAGAGCGCCTTTTGAATAGTCTTCAAAGTCTCCCCGCGCAAAGTGCGGTGACGTGGTGTACAAGGATTTAACAGTGCGTGCAATTCGCAGCACTCCAGCCAGCAGCCTGTGTGAACGGCATGGACCACCATGCTGCTGTGACCGTGCGACGTGCCACTCCGTCATCGAGCGTTGCTGTTGGTGCCACCACCACTGCTACTGCTACCCCCGCCCTCCATCCCTCCCTCCCCCGCGCTGCGACCTGCCACTCTACGCCGGTGCTCGCGTTAATATCGCAACGACACACGTGCCGACGTATCGTTCATTGAAAATAAATCGAGCGTCGCTCGGCAACGTCCATATCGATAGTTTATGACGGCATAACGGAGGGGGCCAGCGGAGTGACAAACCCATCGCTCCCCCTCCTCCCTCCTCCCCCTCCCACTGCCAGACAGGACGGGCCCTTCCTGCCCGCCCGTGTCCTTGGGCGCGACGCGGGGGGAGGGGGGGCCTGTTGGGGAATGTATGGCGCGGAGGGGCCCGGCCAGCCCCTGCTGGTCCAGCCCAGCATCCCCGGCCGCGGCCCCGGCCAAGGACCATAGCCAGGATGAAATTCTGTTTGGAACAAATCCTCCTCCTCCGCGAGGTGGCTCGCTGGCCAGGGCCGCCTCCACCGCCCCGCCTGTAACGTGTATGGGATTTCCCTCCAGGCTTGCCCGAAAGTCGTGGGGTATCCTCTCGTGGGAGGAGGCGATACCCCATGCACTGGCGAGCCTGGCAGGTCTGTCTGCTGAGCGGCGCGCTGGTCGCGTCGGCTGCTCGGTCCCCCCTCCCCTCCCCTCGCCTGCGTGGTCCGGCCGGCCGGAGGCTGGGCGGCGCTGGGCTCGGTCACTTTGACGGAGGAGCGGTGGCGAGCGGTTGGCTCAGAGCGTCTTGTTAACGCCAACATTTACACCTGTCGTGCCGGCGTGCTTTTCCACCTTGAATGCTCGGTAAGATTTCGCCTCATGTGTCTCACCTCGGCTCAACTCTTAGCTTGCCTGTGTTGTGCGGTCTAGTTATTGTGTGCTGTGTTTACTCTCGCTTTCCAGGGTGTTGATTTACGTGTGTCTGAGTACACTACGTGTGTAATTCCTCCGTATGGAGTGTCTACCCGTTTGGGTTTCGCCCTGTGAGCCGCGGCGCCACAGCATGTCCGGCTAGAGGCCGTAGAGCGGCCGTCCCAGCGACGGCGCCACCACAATGAGTCCGGATCGAGGCGCCAGGGCCCGTGGGGCTGGCGGTCCTCGTGGACGTCCGCAACTTTGTTTCTGAAAGTAAGCTACGCGCTTGGCGCACCTCTCCCGCTCCTCTACGTCCGGCTTGTGTGATTGTTTGATGTGTTGATGAACAGTGATTTTGTAGCCAAAGTACATGACTGTTTAGTCCGTGACTAATTTCTGTGTGTCACCGTTCGAACCCTTTGGGGCACTCGCGGTCGGGGGCGACGCGGGGGGCCCGCGGTGGTCTAGGCTAAGTGCGTCATGCCTCGTGGCGTACTCAGGCTGCCGAGGGTCTCCCAGCGTTACTTCCGGTCGCGAGGGTTCTTTTGAGTTTTAGTCTCAATATCAGTTATGGCTCATTGTACCGAGTTGTTCGTTTTTGTACTCTGTATTTTTATTCTATTTTCTGGTGTGAAATCGTGGTAGCCTATTCAATGAATACGTGTCATGTACTCATTCGGATTTCTCTAATGTGTGCTTTGCACTTTCTTGTTTAATAAACATTCAATTTATCTCTTACCGTACACTGTCTGTTTTGCTGGATTATTTTGAGGGGAGTGACTCCCTGGCGCCCTAACAAAAATAACTCAAGTGATCCACGCCACTCTACCTTTTGGAAGGCTTTTTGCTAGTCGGGGCCTAACGTAATTTCTTATAATATAGCCCATCTCTGTGTGGACAAAATGTTATACGCCCCCGGGGGGCGGTTGGTTAGGGGCGGTGGTAGGGAACCGGCCCTGACGAGTGGACTCGAGCAGAGGGCTCTTCTCCGGATGACCCTCCTGGAGGTAACCGAAGGAATTATCTGGAGGGAGGAGGGGGCAGGAGGAAGGGCTTGGACTCCTATATTTTCTGCTGCCGCGCGTTCTGCACTAACCGAGCGCACAGAAGTGCACCGGAAGCACAAGTAAGTGTGCGAATGTCGCGCACTTGTAGGTGTGGAAATTCAGACCTTTACTACCTTTAGTACGAATGGGCGTTTCCAGTGTGCAAGTGCACGAGCCGCTCTCTCTCGTTCGCGCCGCACTAACCCTCACTGGTCCCGTATTTTTCCGCGAAAATTTTTGAAATTTTTGAAAAAAAATTGTCTTTTTCCTGTTTTGTCTTGTTTTTCTGCAATTTGTCTTGTCGGTTTTTTTCCCTGCCCTTCAAATTCCAAATTTCCCGTGTTCGCACAGGTGCTCGCCGTGCCCCAAGGACCAGCCGCGCTGCGGCATGTCCAACACGTGGCAGGCGGGCGTGCGGACGGGCCTCAAGGTGGCGCAGGGCGTCATCATGGCCACCGTGCTGCTGCTGGGGCTGGTCGTCTTTAAGAAGCGCAAGTGCAAGGTGAGTTAGGCACCCCGCCGGACCAACAAAAGCGCGTTACAACCACTTTCATACTGCTGCTGTTATTCAATTAAAGTGACACGTCACATTTGTTAAACACATGGAAACCGTCACATTGGTTGAATCGTGAAGTCATGTTCGTTTTCAACGTAACAGCCGGGCCGCAAGTATGATAAATTTAAAAGTCAGGTGAAAAATATTGTGACAGTAGCATCCGAAAGAAATTGACAGTTATCACAGTGCGACGTCACATGAACTGAATAACAATGTATAGTGCAAACACGTTCTGCACACAAGGTGTTTGACACGCCTTCCACACACTTTTTCATGTATGACGTTACGTCACGCACTTTTCCGTGAGTAGAGCACTCGCAAGGCCTACAAAGCATTGACTTGCAGCACCGACAGACGAGCACGGGAACAATGATTTATTTCACAGAAGTAATACGTGGAGGGGGGGGGGAGGAAAAGGGGAGTCACGGGGATAAGCAGGCTGGCTTAGAAGGCATTGCGGATGTGCGAGTGGTAGCGGAAGGGCTCTAACGGCGCGCTCAGCGCCGCTGTGTGCAAACTCCTCGAGCTGGCTTTTCATAATTCTCATCACGGATAACACGAGGGAGGGGCGGCGGCGGCAGCGGGCGGCGGTGCGGTGGAAACCTCGGAAGGCGAGTCGGTGGGCTGCGGTAGGCCAGTGTGCCAGCCACTGTAGGCAGACTCGTCGCATCCTAGAGGCGGCTGCGAAGGCCCAGGGGCCCGGGGGCTGGGGGCCAGGGGGCTGGAGGCTTGGGGGCCGGGGGGCTCTCCAAAGGCCGTCTCTAGTCGGCGCCGCCCTCTGTCTCGTCGGCGCACTACTACACGGCCGGGCCGGCTAGAGCGGCGGCGAGGGGGCTAGCGCCTGCGGTCGGGCGGTTAGGCAGCCCGCCTCGCTCGCATGCAAGGCGGCCGGCCCAGCCTCCCCTCCCCGCCAGGCGCCTGGTCGCGCGAGCAGCACCAGCACGACCGAGCACGACCAGCAGCAGCCGGGGGGCGGGGAGCGGAGCAGAGCGGGGCAGAGCGTGGCAGAGCGGAGCGGCAGAACAGGGCACAGCGAGGCGGAGAAAGAGTGTAATTTTACCACGATTTGCAATTGCGAGAGAGAAATAAAAGAAAAGAAAGAGCCATGGGGGAAAAACTGGGGGGACTGGTAGCGTAGGAGGGGTGGGGGTGGGGGCAGGTGTAGATGTATGTTAGACGTGTACCGCTGCGTGTTGGGGAATCTCTCGCCTTGCCACGGCGCTGACAGCTTCCCCCTCCCCCTCCTGGGACAGTCGCTCTGCGCCGCTCTCCAGACTTTGCTGGCCCAGTCCAAGTTTGTGCGGGAAGCGGGGGGCGTCGTGGCGTGGCGTGGAGAGGCGGAGCGGGAGGAGGGAGGGGG